ATGAAGATATAAAGTATTAAAATATAAAGGGCCCATTCTAGGGTAAAGAAAACAACAATTTGTACATTTAGATGAAACACATTAGTGAAAACATCACTAGGATTATTTTATATTCATGTTCTGCCAATAGATTCCTTTCACCTAAATCATACACACTGGACCTTTAATTTACTTAACATTTTGTTAATTCCACTTGAGGTATAATTAGTGCTTTGTATTGATTTAAAATAAACTGAGACTTGGTCAGAGGAAACTTGCTCACACCACCTTTGTTTTTTGTTTTATGAAACCATGAAGTCCATCACTATTTTATGAATACCAAATGATTTATTGTGTAGTCGAGAAAATATTTTTAAGTAATCAATGAGTTATATGTTCTATATTGTAGCAGTTTAAATCTGGCCATTTACATTCTTTTGTTACAATCTCCAGGTTTCTGGTCAGCTTTGTATATTGTTTCAAACATTTCAGTCACACTTGTGTGAACAAAGAACAGAAACAGGATAACGTCTTTACACACAACTTCACTGTGGTTTCTGTGAAAGTTCTCCAGCTGGCATTTCCAGGGCTCTCAAGACCAGGATCTATTGCAGGTTTCTGAAAGAATGGTATGGTTTTTACATGTGCAACACATAACTGGGATAGTCCAGTAGTGGTGTAAATTTAAACTCACTCAATGAAAATAATCTTTTATGCAGCCTTAAATCAATTTTACGATGTTACACAGTGAGATGAGGCCCTGTCATTGCATTGATGAGAGTTTTGGACAAAAGCTATTGTGTTGTATTCATTGGACATGTTGTCAAATCATGTGAGTGTCTAGAGATCTGCTGGTAGTCATTTTACACTTGATGACTCTCAATGAGAATCATCAGCTCTTCATGACATGACACTGAGCTGCTCCAGTTTTCATATTCTGTTGTTGACAGAATGTGAAAATGTTGGAGAGGAAATACGAAATGCAAACGCCTGCTCACATAAGTCATTTTAACTGTGCTATCCATTATTGAAATTTCCAATGAGGTCAAGAGTCGAATTGACTTCGAGTCTCTATATCAACAACCTGACAGGCAGCCAACAGTAAGAAGGACAGAGACACAGTCTGTCACTATATGTCAATGTTCTGCAGCTCCACATAAAATCACACTGGTTAAGTACAAATAGACACTTGAAAAGCAATATTAAATGAATGTGTACATGTAAAAATGTTGGTGTAAGCCTCTGTGAGTACATTTTATTTTTACAATTGTATTTTTTGGTGAAATTCTGATAAAACAGAAATGACAAATGTTCAGATGTATTCGCAGCTTCAACATGGTCTTTGTCTTTAAAATCAAAGTGGAACTTCTTATAGATCTACTACTACTTCTCAGCATGATTCCAAAACCTACAAAGGGCATCAAAGGCCCTTTAGCCTTCCGAATAAACTCTGACATCATTTACATCTCTGTCCTGGCGATTTATTTGTTTGTTAGAGGATAAATGCACAAATGCATTCTTCTTTCAGTGGACCTTGTGATTATGAGGCATCCTAAAATAATGTCTTCAGTTGGCTTGCACTGCATCAGCAGGCACTGTGGTTGGTCTTAAATCTCCCCGGCTACTCTGAATGACTCTATGAGAAATGGATGCTCTTCCTGCTGAGTCCACAGTTTGCCTGATAGATTGTGCTGCTTCAGATGCTATTGAATTGGTCCTGAATGGTCCCAGGAATATTGCGGAGCCAAAAGCTGCAGGGCGAGTGGTGAGTGAACTTGGCACTCGGCACTCTCTTATTTCACGGTTATGATGGAGGATTTTCGCCCTGTGTGTTTTACCGCTGTCATTTTCATTTCTTCACTGTGACAAACTCGAGAGCAGAGGAACTTCATCATTCAGATCGCTGACACAGAAAAGACATACACTTCAACATCCTTTTGTCTAAAAGTAGGAAAGTTGGTGCTTGAGAAAATTATTGAATGTTTGTGTTTCATACGAACTAATACATGTTTAAATTAATTTGAAAAAAAGCCTAGTGTCAGATTTGCCAAAATAGACCTAAAAATGATATTACAGCTGAGGATGGATGGATGGCTGGATGGATGATGGATCGAGACATAGATAGATACATTTAGAAATTATGGTATTATGGCTCAAACACAGGCTTCTCAGAAGACAATATACTTTTATTAAAAAAAAAGTGTCAAAATGCAGCAGCTTAAAGCTTCAAGTACACATTAGGAATCATGAAATAAATATGGTGCAGATTGTAGTGGTCCCTGAGCATTTGTCCACACTGATAGGATGATGCTTCACGGAGAATGTCTCCATGTAGAACAGTGATAGTGGGCCACTGATGTGTGCAAAGAGTTCTTCTTTGGCAAGCGTTGAATTTTTAACCATCCTGAAGCCAGCTGAGTACGCTTCAGTCAAGCCTGAAGATACAGCACATTATCTAATAACATCAAATCAGGTAACATAATGTGACATAACATAGCATAACATCACATCAAGGCATGCAGAGAGAGAGAGTGTGGGGCAGCTCCCCATGTCCTTTTTTAAGATGTATTAATCCAGGTTGCCTGGGCCTTACCGGGACACGTCCCTGTGCCATGTTTTCCCTGAGGACACTTCTAAATGTCCCTAAATGTTTGTGCCTAAAAGGGATCCTGTGGTCACTTCCAGTGCCACACCATGCAGTGACAGGGCAGAAATTAACCTTCAGACAAAGAAGTGTGGAAACACAGTAAAATGCCTCCTTTTCTCTTCTTTCTTTTCTTCTTTTGCCCCTGCCCCTTAGACAGTCTGTGCACAAACACTGCTGCATTAGGTTAAAGCATATAAGATTAGAAAAAAGATGATAAATAGTTCTGGAAAAATCAAGAGACCACTGCAAGATCAGCAATGTCTTTGGGTTCACTATTTGTATGAATGTGCCAAAATAATGTTTTGTTCTATACTTTGCACTGCTGACGACATTTCCCCCTAAATTCTAAATTTAACAGACACTGGAATGACATGTGTGTGTGTGTGTGTGTGTGTGTGTGTGTGTGTGCATGTGTTTGCTTTTGTACAGATATCTTTGTGAGGACCAATCTGAGACGTTTTGGCTGGTCCTCATTTTCTGTCCCACATTTAATGGACTGTTTGGGGGTTAAGACTTGGTTTTAGGATAAGTGTTAGAATTAGGTTTAGGTCAGGGTTAGGGTTGGGGTTAGGTATTCAGTTATGATGGTTAAGGTTAGGGTAAGAGGCTCGGGAATGCATTATGCCTGAGTGTCCTCACTAAGATAGAAACAAACGTGTCAGTGTGTGTGTGTGTGTGCACGCATGTCTATCTAGAGTTATGAGGGGCAATATTTAATCATTTGGTTCAATGCCATCATTGTGAGGACATTTTGACGTTGTGATTGTATTTCACTGTGTCCCCACAAATCCAAAGGGCTGTTTGAGAGTTAACACTTGGTTTTAGGGTTAATGTTAGAATGAGGTTAGGGTAAAGGGGCCAGGGCATGTATTATGTCAATGAGTGTCCTCACAGCTTTAGAGAGACGTGCATGTGTGTGTTTAAGTGAAGCTCTCTCGCCCTGGCTCGGTTTATGGAGGGAGGGAGGAGCATCGCAGCCTGTAGGATGCGGAGCTGCTGAGGAAGCCAAACCAACACCTGTTCCTGGATGGAGCTGTAACATCCCGGATGTGAGAGAGGCATCGTCCTGTAGTTCTATACGTCGGCTGTAAGAAGCCGTCGCACATATACATGCGTAACGTACGTATTTAAATATGATGTAGCCGATAGGCAGTGGCCGGACAGGCGGTGAAGAGAGCTCGCTGACGGACTGTGCGTAATGCTGAGTGGACAGCAGTATTTCTCGCCCAGTGTTCCAGCCTAGACGGGCTCCTGACAGCAGCTTCGCATTTCCTCTGCAGTGCAGCTCGTCACCAGAGCCCGATGCGCTCCGCCGGACCGAGCCCGTTCACTTTGATGCCGTCCAAGCCGAGCGGAGCCTGAGCCGAAGGATGCAGGTGAAAAACCAGATCTGCACCGAGCGCAGCAGCACCGACGACCCGGAGCAGGATGACAACCAGAAGAAGACCTCGTGCTTCTCCAACATCAAGATCTTCCTGGTGTCGGAGTGCGCGCTCATGTTGGCTCAGGGCACGGTGGGAGCCTATCTGGTGAGTTTCTGTGCCACAGCCACGGTGCTGGTGCGGAGAAGACGCATCGTATCTCAGTGTCTCTCCGGCGCCCTTCAAACATTCTCAGGTAGACGGCGGGTAACGATGCGGCGCTTGCGCTGATGCGGCTAATAACCATGTTATTCTGACCACATTAGAATAATCACATCGTCCAGTGAGCACGGGACGCGGTGCTCTCACTGATTGATGACTTGCTGCGTATGATCCATCAGGCCTATGCACCATCCGCACGACACAAAGCGCGTCACAGCGGCCGTAGGCTCCACGTTGTTGCTGGAGAATTTTCTATGCGTATGTACGGACAGAGGGTGAGAGCAGGTTATGAAACACCGGTGAGGACACTGGCGCATCCAGTCTGCCGGCTCATGCTACAGCCACATGCTTCAGTAACGCAGGAGGCCTATGACACTGGAGGATACAGGCCTATAGGAGATGACGTGATCACCATCAAAGAGAAGACAACACCTTATTTTGTGTTTTAAGAGAAGATGAATTGTTTATTAATTATTTAACACTGGGTTATCTGTGACATAATTACAATAACGTGCTTAAAACGATGTAAGATGCAGTGCAAAGGCTCTGATAGTAATGATGGATCTTTATGATGTGGCCAAATTAGTCTCAACCGGAGCCCTTAGTGCATCTGTGGTGACATTTACTAGAGAATCGGCCCAAACACCTCCTGTAAATCTCTACACCATTGTATTCATGTAGACCTTAAAACATACAAGGGATATTCTCCATCTTGTCCTACATTCTAAAATGATTTCTCGATTATAGATGTTTTGATGCTACTAATAATTGCAGTTTGACAAAAGGATGGGGCTGGAAGTAATTTGTATTGATGACAGGAACCTAACACCTCTACTCTATGAGTTAAAACGCTTTAGAGGCTACAGTGAAAGACAATTAGAGATGCTTATTAAATCTTTGTGTAGAAGCATTTTTAAATGTGAAATGTCAGTGGTTTGACTCAGTCCAGGAAAATCAACAAAATACCTAAATATATTCTGATTGCCAGTAATACTTCACATTTTGGTTTAAAAATAATGTTTTGTACACCTCGCAGGTTTAAAGTACATTAACATTTTCCTGCAGTAGAAGTTTATCTTTTAAAGCAGCATCCGAAAACAAATGTGCCTCTTTAGCAAATCCCTCTGCAGACTAAAGCACTACAGAGGCACTGTGTGCCCTCTCTCGTATAAAATATTGTTAGTCATCATCTTCTGTTTTCTGTCTTTTTGTCACTCAGCCACTTTTTTTGGTTCACTGTGTGCTTTTATTTTCTCCTCTTCTTTTCAATGCACAATTGTCTTTTAACAAGTACATTACCCTAAAACTAAACTAAACCCTAAAAGAGAAAGCTGTTATAGCTGAAGGTCAGTGGCTGTTCTTCATCAGTATCCAATATGAGCCTGCATACAACTTTTAAAAGTCTTTGCCTTGTCGTGCAGACGTTGTGACCTCTGACCTCCCAGCATGTCAGAATGTTGCATGAACACTGAACACAAACTGAATGTTCAGTAAAGTAATTTTCACAGTAGTTACTTTAACAGTCTTGTAGTGGTGCCAGAATGGTAACACAACTTGCCCAGCGTTCCACTAAAAAGAGCTGTGACATCCATTTTACCATTTTAGAGATGAAGTACAGATTGTTCATTGATTTTTTCCAAACGGTTTTCTGGTTTCTTTGTAACCACTGTCCAGATGTCTCTGGTGGCGTATCAAGGTCAGGCAAAGGACAGAGTAACTAGGTTGAGGGCAATTCTCCTTCAGCATTACAATTCATTGCCTTTTAATAAACATATTGTAGATGTCAGCCCTGTGATGGACTGGTGCTCAGGTTGGACACCACCCCTCCACATTGTCAGCATGGATTACCTTCAGCACAACCCTTGATGGATGCATATTGTAGATGTAGGACTAGTTCTCCCAGAGACAGGATATTTCTTGCAAAATACCCTTTGAAAGGTATAATAAGTACAAGCTGCTTTTTGTGCGTTCTTAACAAATTAGAAATGGTCTTTTCATACGAAGTACTTAAATTCTCTGTCAGAGCAGAAATGATTGAGTTGAGTTATTGATTAGTTGATCAACAACTTGCTATCAACTGTTTTCATGACCGATTAAGTCATTTTCCAAGCACAGCCCTGTTCTCCAACTGTTAAATTGTTCATTTTTAGCTTTTATTTGATTAAATAAAGAGAATTAAAGCCATTGGGAAATGATAACAGGCATTTTCCTAAAGGAAGGATATTTTATTGAGTAAATAAATAATAAAAATAATCGTTAGCTGTAGCCCTTCTTGGTTAAAAACAACACAGCTATACTTACAAATTCTGATTTCACTGCCGTGTGAGAAGACAATCAGGATAGGCAATACTGAAATTAAAGTTAATGGATATTACACATGATCCATCTCATTTTACTTTGATAATCATGGTAAAATTCATCTTTCATGAAAGAAGAAATATTGGGAATTATACTGCATCTTTCGCTGTGGGTGGGTGATTGATAAAAATGTTTTGCTTGTGAGTCCTATAACAGCACACAGTTGATGTAAGGGCCAGTGTGTCGCTTACACACAGCCAGAACACAGCTAGTACGATGTGTTTGTGTCCGCTGCATAATTAGAACAGCTGCACCAGGTTTCTTGCCTGAAGCCACACAAATGCACTTATCCCCCTCTCTCCGGGCTGGCATCGGCTTAGCCTCGGGGTTGTTTTGGGAGAAGGCGGGGAAGTGTGGGGATGAAGATGTTGGAAGCAGATCAGCCCGCAGAACAGATCAGCTTCTGTGAAGTATCAACAGGTCGCTGGTGGCTGGTACGAGCTCTGGGGGAATGGCAGATGGCTGTGTTTCTACTACTGCCCTTCTACTGAATACCACCTGAAACTAAATGTTCTGCCTCAATATTTTACACAACAATAATACGCAGTTTATAAAATTACATGTATAAATCTGCTTAACAAAATAAGTGGGTTGGCTGTGGTTTAATCAACAGTCCTAAATGACTCAGAGTTGTAAAAACACTTCATAACTCTTGCTCTCTCTCCCTCTCTCCACCAGGTAAGTGTTCTAACCACTCTGGAGAGACGCTTCAACCTGCAGAGTGCCGATGTGGGCGTCATCGCCAGCAGCTTTGAGATCGGTAACCTGGCGCTCATCCTGTTTGTCAGCTACTTTGGCGCCAAGGCCCACAGGCCCCGCCTCATTGGCTGCGGTGGTATCGTCATGGCTCTTGGGGCGTTGCTGTCAGCCCTGCCGGAGTTCCTGACCCATCAGTACGAGTATGAGGCCGGTGACTCCTGGCACGCCGAGGACGGCAGGGACATCTGCTCCAACAACTCCAGGTCAGAAAACCGAGACTCTGGGTTTAAATGTGGCAACCGAGCCAACACCAACATGATGTACCTCCTGCTGATCGGAGCCCAGGTTCTGCTGGGCATCGGAGCCACACCTGTCCAGCCTCTGGGAGTGTCCTACATCGACGACCATGTCCACAGGAAGGACTCCTCACTGTACATAGGTGAGTCACACTGAGCGACAACAGAGACACAATTCTCTTAACGTAGTAGCTATTGTTTTATTTAAAAATGAGCAACCTCAAGCTGAGCTGAGAAACTAAACTAAAACATCTTTATTATTTCTGAGTGAATCCACGGCTTCTTACATTGGAGCTGCCCTCACTGTTGGCTAAAAGCACTGTCGTCAGCTCTGCCGTAATACATGTAGTAGAAAGCTGCCTCAAAGATCACAGAAGCCACAAACAATCATGATGTGATGAATGTGTTGTAGGAAGGTGGTTGCTGAGCTAATAACCTGTATAACAATATATAATGAATCATTCCACTGTAATCTTAAAAAGATGAGCCACAGACGACCAATTCAGATTCCGACCCTGAACCGGGACCAACCAACACCTTCATGCACACAACTCATCTTTTTCTCTTACATTTCTCTTTCTGTACAGATTAAACTGCATTGCCTTCGATCAGCAGTGTTAATGTTTGAACTGTATCATAAGTGACTACAAATCTATGAGCCAATCTGAATGAGACGATTGAAATCAGCAAAGTCATTTGCAACAGTCATTTGCAACAGTGATTACATTTGTGCAGAAGTGAATGAAATCCTGAACCTGGCAGTCACAGGGGCGGTGGTTTGCTCCACAGTGTCGTTCTTCTCTTCTGGGGTCTTTGATGGGACATGTGACTCCTGAAGCTCATATTTTTTGCAGAAAAATTGTTTATTTACTGGAATCAAATTTGGTATGTAATCAAGAGGCTTTTGAATATGTTGCTGGATGCTAGTACCGTCAGCAACACCAGATGTCTGTCCTTCCTCAGCAGAAGATGAACACAGGTGGGGTAGAATAAATTATGCATAGAGTAACTTTGACCATGACGTCGGAAACATAACACTGGCCCTGAAATGTATAGCTCATCATGGATGAAGAATGTTATTGAAGCAGAAAACAGAAAAGATCCTTGTTTTCCGAACGAATCAACGGGAGCAGGTGTATTCCAGGTTAACATTGGATGTGATAAGAAACAAAGGTGACTGGCTCAATAAAACCTGAACAATCACATATATCAAAGTAAATGGGATGAGTATGTTGGCACAACTGAAACATGACTGTGATATTAATCCTTCTCGCTTGCACTAAATGATCAAATGTCAGCAATGAACAGGGGATCATTTCAGAATTACAAGATTACAATATTATATCAAACAAATTTACGGATATAATCTTTACAATTAGTCATAATTAGTTGGACAATGGTAGATGCTATCCTCATCTTGTGGAGCAGATGACAGAAAGAACAGTGGATGGGAGTAATGGTAGCCTGTTGGGTAGCATACCTACTCCAAATGATGGTAAAGGAGGGATGGAAAGGAAAAATCTAAAAATAATTCTTAATTATCTTAATTATCTTGTCAACCCAAGATATTCCCCCAGAGCTTAGTGCTCAGTGCTGTGGTTGTTTCCAGAGTGGATTTCCCAGAGATCACTTGTCAGTCATCATGTTTGGTAACATGATGAATTTGTCCCTTGATTTACTGAAAGTGGACGACGTGTTTCAGTCGATGACTCACTTTCTTGAACTTCTTCTGCGACATTTATTACCGCAGCTCGCGCCAACTGCTCAGCTCGTCTTCATGGTTGGTTCTGAACAGTATCAAGCCTCAGCGTATCCTGCCCTCTCCTCTAGCCCACAGAAAGAAACCCATCGTGTGTCATGCAGCATCACTGCTTGTGTGTGTGTGTGTGTGTGTCCTTGTGCCAGTATCTTGTTTAGTGAATGTGATTCACAGGTTTGGTGACATTGTAAATAAGAATATCTCCAATGCACACATCTGCTCCAATTTTCATGAAAACAGTAGAATATATTCTACCTATCCAATTACAGCTAAACACATATCTTAGAAATTGTTTATGTAAAAAACACTTGGCTATCACTGTTATGTTATTGTGCGGCCTCCACATCCAGGAGACATGTCTCTAAGCTACTTTACTCCATTGTATTGACTTGCTCAGATAATTAGGTTAGACAATGGATGGAAATATCCCTGGCTTTTAAACATGTTAGTTTCTTTATGGAATGCCTCTGCCTACCAATACTTTATTTTGCTCTACTTTAATTGCACCACAATGTTGCATGGTATTTAGAGGCTAGTCTAAGCCCTGGGTACTATATGCAACAGCAAATGAGAAATTTTAACGCTCCATTCTTTGATATTGTAGCAGATAAACTGTCTCACTGCTGATGTTTTGAAACAGCTAATTTGTGAACGACAAGATAATAGCTCGGGTTGGTAATCCTGGAAAAACTAGCAAGAGCAGGCCACACTTAGCAAGATTGCAACCAATCAACCCACCCCTTCCCATCGGCCCTCTGCTGGAAGCCAACCTTTCTGTGACTCACTCAATAACTTCTGGCTATCGTCTCTGCTTCAGTGGTGTGTGCCTCTCCAGGTGTTAAAGACTCCAATCATGGACAGTGAGAGCACAGTAATTTCAACAAATAAGTATTTCATAAAAAAGTACTAACCTACCTTCAAAGAAGGTTGTGAGCAGAAGGTAACTGACTAACCATTTCAGATCCCATTTCCTGTATTCAACGTTGAGAGGGAAGTTGTGGATGTGTGGCCTCTTATTTGTCGGGGCCCTTGAGCAAAGCACTTTAGTCCCCAAACTTCTGTAAAAGTTCAGAGGCCGGTAGCAAAGTACTGTGGTTACACTTTACAGAAACCTAAGAGGCTGACATAACACACATTACAGTCTGTCTGCCAAAGTTGCCAAGGCAACAGTACAGAGAGAAGCAGGGAGGCTTTTCTCTACTGTTCCTCTTACTGCTCAGCGACCTGCGAGTAGCAGCGCTCCATCCGGGCAGATGGAGAGGCTGAAGCAGAGGACTACATGGAAGAAACAAGAGTCTTCTATTATGACCAGGAAATAAACAGAACATGAATTATCTGATTACATATCTGAAATGTATTTGTTCATCTACATTAATAACAATAATTGGTTTAGTCTTTTATTGTTATTAGTATCTTCTGATGGCTGTATAGCCAATATTTACATCAGATAATATGGCACTGTTTCTTACAATAGCTGAAGTTCTTCTGTATGTATCATTATTATTACTTGTAATTTAGCCTTGTTTCAGACTCATAGTTCCATATTAGTAAAAAATGTAATAATACATATGGCAGGCAGGTTGATAAAGCAAGTCAGTCAAATTTGCGAGTATCAGGAAGCAAGAAACTGTAATAATGTTAGAGCATTGTGCAATAACAAATGTGGCATGTTGTATTTTATAGTTTGTCATATTAATGTGTTGACTCTTTAGCTGCACAGAATCTTCTCTCCAATCTAACTCTATTCAATATGTTCTTCCCTTACCCATAATGCACCATTCCACCAAGTTGTGTGGTAATCCGATTTGTTACTCTTGCTGACTAACAGAACCCAACAAATGCAGATGAAAACATTACCTTCTTGGTGCAGGACATTACTAGTTATTGTTATCAGCCCTGAAATCCCACATCTCCATGTACTCTATGCTCGGCAGCAGATTAGTATAGCACAGCCAGAGTCGCCTTACTATCCCGAGTCATGACAGCCCCTGATGTCCGAGTCAGTTGGTCCTTGTAGACTGTAATTATTCACATTACAGTTTATGAGACTGAGTCACAAGAGGCAGCTCACATAGGCAACCTTCGTGCACAACCTTTTTCGTGCACGTTGTAATAATCCATTTTAAACAACAAGAACATCTTTATACATATTGCAGCCGTAACTGACAACAGTTAACCACTGAGTACATATGACATTTAACACTTGTACATGTTTTACTGAGAAAATGCAAAAAATCAATATTGGGATTATAAGAAATGGATACTGGACCATTAAAAAAATGTTTTTTTTTTAATCCAGCTGGGCTAATGCATGATTAAGCTCCTCCTCTGTGCTTTAAAGTGCTAGTTTTTGGCCCCAGTGAGGCTAGTTGCACCTCCTCTCTGTCATCTCTGCTTGTTCCTGGCCAGTTGTATTGTTCCTACTTGTGTTTCAGTACAGACCTCTTGCAGGGTGAGAAGGCCTGCGGTTTGTTCTGTTCATGCTTTGATCTGTACACTCTCTGCCAGCAGCACTGAGAGAGGAGGAGAGAGGAGAGGAGGGGGGAGAGGGAGGAGATGAGGGACGGACAGAGGATGGAGAGCAAATGAGGCTAGCACAGCACCCAACAACACACCCTACCTCCTGCTTGGCTAGTAGCCAACTCATACCAGATGCCGGATGTTAGACTGTTAGACACTTAATATGTCTATGCTTTTAGAACATTTAAAAGAATGCACTGAGTTTCCGGTGAGATTGACTTCATTACAGGTCACGCTAATATCAGCCGTAGTAGAAAATCAAGACAGCTCATCTGTTACTATTAGTTTTCAGGTGATTTGCTAAACACCAGGTTTCTTTGGGATCGTTTTCACATATTTGGAAGTTTTTTTCAGACAATGGGCGATATGGAAAAAAATCTTATCACTATAACCTTTTTCATATCATTAGATATCAATATATATTGCGATATAAATCAAATCAGTGCCACCGCATTGAGGCGAATTACTCTGCGCATGCAGGTCAACAAGTGACTCTGCTCCTCTGATGTTTTGTAATCACTCGCATGTAGACCTGATCTTTATAAAAAAACCTGCTGAATTTGTATTTATGTTCCTGGATAAACAGTGTGTCGCTTCTCCTGCAACAAAGTTAAATTGTTATTATTCAGCGTTAAGAATGTAGTGGAAAGAATTATCGATTCTGTTCTGTCACTGTATCAATGTTGAGTTGTCCACCTCTATGCAGGAGCCCAAACATTAGCACGTGTGCTGCTGCTCCTACACTCTGTGCTGTGTGTCAACCTAACCTGACGTGGCTCTAACTCTATTCCAGTCACATGATTGGTTCGGGGAGGCACTATTCTCTTTGTCATTGGCCCTTCTTGTTTTCTGTCAAAACATGGA